TTTGTGTCCAGGAGAGTTGTTTTGAAGGTATCCCAAGCTTCCTCTACGGTTAGTATTGTAGAGTTGATAGAGCCTAGTTTTTCATTTAACGTGCTTCTGATCTGAGCCTGCACCTGATCATCTCCAAGTTTATGCATATTTAGTCTCTCTTGCTGTCTTTTATGTTTTTTTGGTTTTCTTTCTTTCTTGGTGGTCAACGTTGTGATGATTGGCCTGTGGTCTGTGTCCAGGCCTGCATTGGGGATGGCTCTTGAGTCTGATTGTGATCCGTATTCGTGTTCTCGTTAATATGAAGTCGATCTGTCGAAGACATGTCAATTAATATAATCGTATGGAAGAGGCTAGCCGTACTTATTCTTAATATGATGGCTAGACTGACCATTTACAAAAAATAGGCCTACTGAATTGTAAATATACATTTTTAGTGTGCAGTAACTAAAGTATTCGTGTATTTGAGACGAAACCAGGTGCCTTAATGACAGTGCATGTATTTTAAACCTCCTATTTTCTAATGTTAATAGGGCCTAAAATAAGTACGGCTAGACTGTCACTCTAGCCGTACTTAAGTATGGGTAGACAGCCAGGCTAGCCGTACTTAAGGACGGCTAGACTGTCAGGCTAGCCGTACTTAATATTGATGCCTGAATTGTAAATGAAATTTTCAGTTTGCAATGCCTAAAGTATTTGTATTTCAAACAAAACCAAAATGTGCCTTACTGACTTGCATGTATTTGAACCTGAATAATTACTAGATCTAGATATAATGAGACCTGTGTACTTAACAGGCTTGAGTCGATAGGGCCAAACCTAGATCTAAAATACGGCTAGCCACCTCGTAATCGTATTGTATCTATACAGTTTGTATTTTTGTTTCAGAATATACAAGAGGGGGTATATTTTTACTACTGGTTTAACTGTTTAACTATGTCTCGACAGTTGCAGCGTCCGGCAGTCGAGGTCCATAACTATGGCTGTACCGATGCGAAGTCATTGTATTATGGTAGGAGCCGAATATAAAAAAGTATGAGCTAACAAGCCTTTAGTTTGACCCGGAAGTCAAAGATAAATGAATTCTACATCTGCGTAATGCTTAATTGATGAGTGACTCGAAACAAGTGGTTTTATAAACGTAATATGTTGGGTCGCATTTCCACAAACACGAGAGAAGTACGCGGAAACGTGATTTCAAAGTGCATGTTAAAATGCCAGAAAAGACGTTAATGAAAACGGGTCAGGAGATATGTTTTATTAGTTTTCTTTTTCACCAAAATGCAAAAACAAGTCTTTCACCTTGAAATAACAAAACCAATAATTATTTTTCTAATTTTATTTTAATTATTAATAAATAGTGTTTCAAGACATATTTCCCAGACAAATACCTCCTGTAGATGATCCTGTCTGTGGGTGCTCCTCCGGCTGGTCCTCCTGTCCACGGCTGCACCTGGTGATGAAGACGTGTCAATTAATACAATCGTCTTACATCTATACATACAGTTTGTATTCTTTTCGTGAAAAAATAAACTGTCGCTAAAATATTTTTGCTACTGGTTTAAAAAGCATCAAAGACATTTTTAAAAATTTGTCCAAAAATATGTTTCATCATTTGTCAATCAATACTATTGTCTTACGTCTATACAGTTTGCATTTTTGTTTCAAAATATAAAAAGAGTCGTTATAATATTGTTTACCACCAGTTTAAAAGGACAAAAGGTCATTAATAAAAACCTTTCAGTAAAAATACATTTTATCATTCTTTTTTTCCACCTAAATGCAACAATAAAACTTTTACCTTTAACTCAAAAAACTATAATAATGGACACCGAGACATATTTCTCAGACAAATACCTCCTGTAGATGTTCTGTCTGCGGATGCTCCTCTTGTCGTCCAGGTGGTCCTTACGGAACAATCCAGTATACACCCCACTCCAACATCATCACACTCAAACTCAAAATCAGCAGGAAGCTCTACCCACACCATTCTACCCCTGCAACCCCCCCCCCCTCCCAAAAAAAAAAAAAATACACTGCCCCCTCAACTACCTCCCGCCATGGCCATGGCAATATCTACAAAATTCTACTCTGACTCTAACCTATCCACCTAGCTCCCTATCAACCTATCTGTCTATCTCTACAGACCCACTGCGTCACTTCAAGCCTGAGTGTGATATACAGAAATCGTAGAAGCAGACCAGTTTGATACTTGTTGGACCAGAAAAGTGAACAAACCGTCTGATGTCACCAAACTTTGAACTGAAGAAAAGGGATAGAATTGCCTCGTCATCTTTCTAGTTCAGTGATCTCATATAGTGAAGCAGCTTCTGTACAATATCTGAAACAGTACATCATACAAAGAATTTTTCTGTCGTTGAGTCCATGTTTTTACAGCCCGATCCGCACAATTTCACAAAAGCTTGAGAAATCAAAGTGCACAGTCAGCTGTTATAGTTGCCAGTTATCGTTCGCTGGTGTAACTGACGGAAGTCCATTTCAGAGTAGCTGTGGCAGTATAATTCGTCTGGCTGGTTGTCTAAGAGTGAGTGGAAGGTCCGTGCTGTCTGGGCAGGGTGTCAGCTTCTTGGCTGACTGTCAGCTGTTGGCTTCTCATGTGGGTTCTGGCTTTCTGTGAAAAATAAATTTGAAGTCAAATTAGTTAAACTTTACAGTTTAAGCAAAGAAAAGCACATCCAAGGCAATAACAATTATCAAAATGTAGGGAAAAAATACGACAGACCTCTAGGTCACGAGAGCCCCCATTTTGGTTTTTGATCGAGTATTATGTTCTATATCGCTATAGAGAAAATCTGTTCATGTATTTGCCACATAGATCTACAGATTTTCCAAACATCAACTTTTCTTACTACTGATTAAAAGGATGGACAAACATTTACAAAAATCTGCAAAATTATGAGTTAAAAATGTTCACTTTTTTACAACTTTGATACTATGCATTTCTTGTAGACTAAATTTTTGCAAAACAAAGATATTTCTTGGGTCAATAATATTAACAATGACTTCCTGTTGGAGCATTTAAAATACCAAATACTGGTATAAGCGTATCTTTGAATTCACCGCATTCTATCAAAATAAGTCAAACAGTAGAAGAAACAAATTGTAGCATGTTATAAAGAAAGGACATTTTTATCCTTCTAGGAGATGTTCTTCACATGGTTGTGTATTTTTGACCAATTAAAACTTCCATTATTCCAATATTAGTATCAGTGTGATAATGCAACCTATTGAAGGAGAGGTTCCACCTTCAGGGACACGAAGCAACCAATATCATAAATTGTTCTCAGTTGAATTGTTTTAACAAGCAAATATTCAGGTCTTAGGTTAATTTTAGACTCATTACTCGACATGACCAGGGGCATTTTTGGAGAGACACCTAAATACAAACATGTAATTTGAAGTTGAACTCAAAACTCACCAATTATTGGTACTTTTTAATTTCTAAAGTAGTAATTGAGTTAATGTCCTAATACGGGACGTCTGTTAATACGGGGAGGGAGAGAGAGAGAGGGAGGGAGGGAGAGAGGGAGAGAGAGAGAGAGAGAGAGAGGGAGAGAGGGAGAGAGGGAGAGAGAGGGAGAGAGGGAAAGAGGGAGAGAGGGAGAGAGGGAGAGAGGGAGAGAGAGAGAGAGAGAGAGAGAGAGAGAGAGAGAGAGAGAGAGAGAGAGATTGCTCTGGCTTAAATTAAGAGTCGCAAGTGTGGTTGCTGGATGTGGAATACTGAAAATAGAAATTACTAAATCTGAAGGAACTAGGAGGAAGGGGTTAAGGGTGGGGGGTGCAGTTTGAGTATAAAGAGTGCACAGGAAATACAAGTGAGAGAGAAACAAGGGAACTAGCCCAAAATAGGGAAAGGGGAATGAAATGACCTTTCTTCAGTACGCACAATATGCACAATAAGGAAGAATGGGGAGAGACGAAGGATGAGGACTTGATAATAAGAATTGGAAAACCGTTCAATATCAAAAAATACGAAAACAAATAACATACCTGAATATTTGCTAAGATATAATGGAATCTAAATCTCTATGTGTCGCCTGATCGCCTCGGTTTCATTAGCACAGCAGACGGGAAGGCAGTGTCCAATGTAGTTTTACTATTGGAATCACAAGTAGATCTAGGCCTACCTGAAATGTCGCCGGCTTCGAACTGATTAATTTCTGCTCAAAGTGCCCTAAGAGAGCACGAACTGAATTGTATTCACCAAGTAGCTGTCTGCTGATTGGCTGTTGGATCTCCGAATTCTACTCATCAGTCACTTTTTTTCAGCTGAGTACTGTAAACGAGGCGTCACAAAAAAGCGTGGACTAACATACCCAGGAAGACAACGTTGTTGGTTGTTTTTGTCCCCCCCCCCCCCCCCCACTCTACTCCATCCTCTGTCTGGTCACACCTGCCTAACGTCAGCCAAAGTTATAGGACCTGTGTCAGGGTACAAACTGTTTTTGTACACCATGCAACCTCCTTGCAGTTGTTGTTTTTTTTGGTAGACATTCACATTTAACTTCTGATTTTGATCTAACAAAACTCATATTGGTTACTTTAGATTGCAATGAGCATAGTAACAATGTATTCCAATAATTCTTTGGCACTGTTTTAGCTATACACGTCTCGCAACTTTTCTTGCAACTTTTGCTAATTTTTCTTGCAACTTTTGGCAACTTTTGCTATTTTCAAATGCAACTTTCTCTGAGGACAGTCAGAATCGATAAGAGTAGGCTTCGGTCGGCACCCGGGCAAAATCCAAAATTTCATACCAACTGAAAGATTATGTTAAATGAGTTCCGCGCGCTCATATGACCTTACTTATGCAGTTGCGAGCGCTGTAAAACACTTACCAAAACAAAACACAAAAAAAAATCCCCACCATGGAGACTCCCACCTCCTTCAATAGCAACTAGATCTATTTCGACATCTGTTCAAGATAGACTGATATTATTTTTTTTAAGGACAATAATGAACACCCTTTAATAAGATAGATTATAGGCCTACCAATAACTCCATAGCCTATAATAATCTTATATGCACATAAGTTGACTAGCGCCTTCATGGTTCCACTACGCTTTGATGACAGAGGATCAAGGACTGGTGAAGGGTCTCATTGAAAAGATGAGAAATGCCCAAGCGTCTCATATAGCCTCTCCCAGTCTAGCCAACCACACCTACCAGTGGTGATTCCTGTTCGGACTGACGTGGCTCTGGCGAATTGGCGCTAATTATTATTTTTGTACTCTTAACGCCGCCCTACCCAACTTGACCCAGTACGTCGACATTCCAACGAGACGCCAAAGGACATTAGATCTGTGTTACGGTAATGTGACCCAAGCCTACAAGTGTGTTGCCCTCCCACCCATCGG